ATGACTCATGAACTTAATCATTGAAATAACGTTGTTTGTTTCTTAGTCAAAACGAATTTGTAATAGTGCCGATGTGTGTGTGTGTATGCGTGTGCGTGTGTGTATGCATGTATGTAGGCGTGTGTGTGTGTCAATTGTAACTATAGCCATTGATAAAATTAAATTAATATGTTCAAAGAAATAAGATTGATGAAAAGTAATGGTTTTAGTAACAGGATATCACAAACTGATTCATGTTAAATAATTATTAAATATTAGGGATCGTTGAATAGCTTTATGTCTAAGTATGCGATTCATCAAATATGAACAATCCATAATGAGTTATCTTTCTAATTCTGGTGATAAAGAGAGTCAATCAGAAGTAGTTTAATGAGAAGATTAGTGGATGGTAATCATAAGTGATCTAAAGGATAACTTCATTTCATTGGCCAAGAAATATATACACATATATATATATATATATATATATATATATATATATATATATATACGTATATAGTATATGACTCGAGTTTAAAGTGTAATGTCTGGCAGCAGAAGATAGGGAGGAAGATCAAGAAAGGAAGAGCGGGAACACAATGGAATTTGTATGAAAACGTATGAACAATGAAATGTCAGACAATCGATTGATGTTTGCAACAAGAACAGTCCAGTTTGATATGATGGATTGATATTTTGCAAATTACCGATTCACTATATGGTTTTTTTTATTTTACTAAATACAATCGATTGTCTCCACCCGTATTCTTGTTCATTACAGAATGACTACAGCTTCAAGGATAATAGAGAATTGATTGTTGACTTATTGATCTTCAGTTTTTATATTTGCTATAATGTTTAAAATCTCTTTTTTTAATCAATTTATAATGTGGTCTTAACTAAATGAAGATGATGTACTTCGAGGTAGGTTTCAATTAGTTCTGTATTTGATATCAGTTCATGAAGAAAATTATGTTTGAAATTTGGATAATTTAACGAGATATCCTTCATTTAACTATGAGATTTTATGATGTTTCATTAAACATCTCTGTTAACTATATAGTATAGAATTGGTTTATTAAAGGTAGTGTTCCGATTCTAAAACCGTAATCTATAGTAATGCAAAAATACTGTATATGATCACTGCACGTTCTAGTAGATGTGTATCCATAGTAAACAGGGAATGACTTGAGTAATTTGTCGACCACTCTTCAACTAACTATAATCAAACGATCAGGTATTAACTTTCATTAAATGAGTCTTAAATATGAGTAAACGGATCTGGGTTCGGATCTTGTGAGGTGGGATCTTGGATGCGCACTGCTGAGGAGTCCTATACTAGGACGAAACGGCCATCCAGTACTTTCAGGTTTTCTATGGTGGTGATTTAGCTTCAATTAACTCATGAACTCAATTATTAAATTCATATTTATTAAGATCCAAAATATAAAAATCTGAAATATATCTTAAGATAGGTTTGAATAATTTTTTCTGGTTAGCGTATTTTAGCGAGTTAGTTTTCTACGGGATGGAGTCGCTAACCCCATGTTCAACCCTCCTCCTTTATCCGGGCTTGCGACTGGCAGTAGTCCCCCAAAAGGAACTCCAGGCGGAGTTCTTAAGATAGGTAGATTTTGTAAATAATCAAACCCGGTGAATCAAAAATTCCCATTTAAACATTGAGCTACTGTGATGGACTTTTGTTCTCTGAGCTGGATGGTTTGGTCATGGAGCTTTCATCCATCTTCTGAACGACATCATCAGCACAAACTTCAGATAGAAGTGAGGTGTTCGAATTTCTCCACATGTAACTCACAGCTTGTCCTGTGGACCTCAGTGTTGATTTCTTTTTGTTTACCTTAAATTTGTCATTGTTTACTTCTTTGTGCTTGGTTGTGTCTCCTATTGGTTTGATTCTTGTTCCTATATTTGTGCATACGTTTCCTGATTGGTTGATAAATCGGATCGATTTCAATGTATTTGTTGATTGCTGATTGAGCTGAGTGCCAAGCTTCTAAACATTCTGTGGTATTTTTGCAATTTCCTCTATCCAAGATTTCCACATTTTTCCAGTCGAATGTGTGTCTGCAGTTGTCCACATGTATTGATATAAGTGAAGAAATGTCATGACGTTTGACTGCTAATTGATGTTGATGTAAGCGAAGATGAAGGGGGCATCCGCTTTGTCCGATGTTGTGTTTGTCGCAGTTCACGCAAGTTATTTTGTAGATGATGTTTGATTTATCTTCTTTTGTTATTTCATCCTTTGGTTTGCATAGGATTGATTGTAGTGATTTTGCGGTTTGTGTGCCACACCTATCCCGAAGGTTTTTATCAGTCTCGTTGCGGTTTTTGATATGTCATTTATGTATGGTTGGGTGATCCGTTTGTTGATTTCTGTGTTTGATTTGGGCTCTGATGCTGCATGTGGTTGGTATGTTTCGATGAAGTTGATTGGGTAGCCATTGTTTTGAAATACGTACTTCAAATATTTCTTTTCCTTTCTTCGTGCTGCAGTGTATCCTCGTCCACTTCAACAAAGTTTGCACGCAGTTGATTTTATGTGCTCTTGGGTTGTTGCTATTGTAGTTCAGAATTTGATCTGTGTGGGTCGGCTTCCTACATACTTGAGTTTCTAGTTTTCCTGTGTCGGTTCAAGTGATTAATATATGCAAGAATGATAGTTTGTTGTTTGTCTCGTGTTCCATTATGAACTTGATGTCATCGAAGACGTTGTTGATCAGCTTGTAAGTGTTTTCTAGCTTATTATTTCTGACAATGACGAATGTGTCGTCTACATGGCGAATCCAAATTTCTGGCTTGATCACTGGTTATATCGCGGTTTCCAGTCTTCACATCAGTGCTTCTGCGGTCAGTCGTGATATTAGTACTTCATTGAAGTTCAGAGACAGATAAGAAAAATTGTGTAAAAATTATACAGGTAATAAAGGATTTATGGAATTTCTTGATTGAGATCATGAACCGATAGATGTTAGATAACCATTGAAAACCTGGAAGCATTGGACGGCCGTATCGTCCTATTGTGGGACTCCTCAGTGGCAGGGCGCATCCACAATCCCACCGGCGGGATTCGAACCTAGAGCCTTCGGTCTCGCGCGTGAACGCCTAACCTACGCGACCACTGAGCCAGCCGGCATCCAATGGTGTTAATGTCTAACCCCAACCAATCCACGAAGTTGTGCGACCATGTTACATTTTACTGAGGTAGATACCTGTCTCTACCCGACACGAATCAGCTCCACTGGTCACAACTTCTCGCTAGAACTCCGAGAATCACCTCATGAGGCTAGTCACTAGTGAGGACATGTTAATTATCAATATAGGGGTTCTGGAGATTGGTAATTAAAAAATTGATAAGATGGGTTACGTAATAATTGAATGGAATTTAAGGAATTCACATAATTTAAGAGAATCAAGTGAGTGGAAATGTATGAATGATGGGGTAGTTTAAGAATTCAGTAGTGGGAGTGGAATAAAACTAATAATCAAATACAAAAAGAACAATAACCACATACACACACAAAATATTGGATTATCAGAGTAGTGATAGGTTTATTACTGTCTCTTTTTGAATACATAGATTCGGTTTAGGTTTTTTTATCGCGATTGCTTCAGAAAAACAGAGAGCAACCGTACTTCTTTGTCAGCTAATAATTTTAGAAGCCTAAGAGATGTCAATGGTATGCCTGGTGTCAAGTAAATGCCAAGCTATTGCACTATTGAGAGTACTAGTACATCGAAGCCTCAATTTCTTTGTAACATGCTCAGAAATAGAAACATGTACTCTTCTCTCGGTTGTTCCAATGTATGTGGTTTGACATGTACATTTAAATTGGTGATGCAATAGGAGCTACTGAGTTAAGGGGACTTGTCGATTTTAGTTTGTTTGACTGAGCAGTTCGTTTCCCATACCGTCATCAGTTTTACTGCTAGATAGGTCACGTTCGACGTGAAATTTATTCTATGATTAATTATTCCATCAATTTCATTTCTTTTGTAGCGTAAGTATAAGAAGCAATGTAATGCATACATATTTGGTTGTAAGCAGCTGATGAGAAACCACAACAACATAATGAATTCATACTGTTCTGTATCAATATTTGTTCTGGCTTTATTTAAATTCATAATCAAATGTTTGACATTTCATTGTGAAACAACTGGTTTTGTGTTGGAGTACCGAATGAAGGGTCGTAGATATACCCCCTTATTAGGGTTGTTATCAGTCAATCATATAGATATGTAAGTTTTACTAGTACAAGAATTGGTGTACAAAAGTTATCTTTATATAAGCCTTAACAGCATCAAGTATGATACATCCAAAAATATCTAACATTTCAGTAGTTCTATTGTAAAATAACAGATATTACTAATAAGGTATATGCCTATGTAGAGTTGAAGGTCTTATATGTGACTGAAGGTTCACTATTGATATTTCTTTGGCAAGTTTTTACTGACTGTTCATGTACAAAATTGGTTTGCTGGTTAACCGATTTCATTCATACTGGTGGCTGCTTTTCAGTATTCTCAAGGGCTAATGTCATTCAGACATTGTAAGATATGTCGCCATTGTTAACAATAATGAGTTTGACTGTCGTGTAAGCGGAATAGATCAACTTTGGCCTGTTCGTGCTGTGCATAATTGATTCACACGATCATTGATCGAAATAACTATACATATGACGTGAAAGTGTATATGAATGGTGCGTATAGTCTATCAGGGTGTTTAGTACCTCAGAATTGAGCTGTACTATTCAGATTGTAACGTGAAAGCCTATACAGTGTTTGGTTCTCCTGTGAAGTGGGATTGAGCTGTACTACTCAAGTTATAAAATTTAAGCTTGCATGGTTTTTCAGGCTTTCCTGTTAAACGTTTCAATTGTCACGTGAATGTCTAGATGGTATTTTGTTCTCTTGAAACCCAATTTAAAATTACTTTGATCCATAAGGGTATATTATATAACAATCAATTCCTAAGAAGTATTATTATCATTGAATCTTACTTATTCTGCTCTGATAGTTCATCAATATTTTCAATATCGGAATTTTCTGATCGATTCAAATGATTGTCCATTTCATTTGAAATACCTAAATAGAAAAGAAAAAAAAAATTGTTTTATGAAAACAAAAAGGCAATGGATGTTATTTTTAAACCAAAAGTGTTATAATCAGTTCATGATTATTATTATTATTATTATTATTATTATTATTATTATTATTATTATTATTATTACGTTGGCAACTTCTATCCTAATAATTCCTATTAGTAACTAATCATGCAGAAACAGGAAGTAGTAGACCATTAAATAGGTAACTATGTTCATTATATCAATGACATTGTATATATTTATGTATGGGTAAATCATTCACTAAACAAACATATATTATATTGTATTGCTCCAAATTTATAAGTGCATGTCAATATGTATATGTTTGAATGTATCTTGGCCATTGTTGACTACATAAAAGAAACAAAGTTATTCTTTATTGATTGATCATAGACTAAATGATCAATTTTAAAATACTTATATATATGCTATCCTATTGTTCATATATTTGTTCTTATTGTTTGCTAATCAAGTTGTTTGTATAATCATCATCATCATCATCCAAAGCATCATCATCATTACCCAAAGCAGCATCATTGTCATCCAATGCATCATCATCATCATCATCATCCAAAGCATCATCATCATCATCATCCAAATGATCATAATCATCCAAAGCATCATCATCATCATCATCATCCAAAGCATCATCATCATCACCCAAAGCAGCATCATTGTCATCCAATGCATCATCATCATCATCATCATCCAAAGCATCATCATCATCATCATCCAAATGATCATAATCATCCAAAGCATCATCATCATCATCATCATCCAAAGCATCATCATCATCATCCAAAACATCATCATCATCATCCAAAGCATCATCATCATCATCCATAGCATCATCATCATCTAAAGCGTCATCATCATCATCATCATCCAAATCATCATCATCCAAAGCATCATCATCATCATCATCCCTCGATATTAACTAACTAAATGATGAGTGAACTGAATGATATAAGTCTAATGATATATACATATATATAACTAAAGTTAAAAAAACACATTTTACACGATAATCTACACATACATCTCAATATCAGGAAGTTAACATTCTGTATTTGATTTTTTTTTCTTTCATTCATTACTGATTAAACAAAGATTCAATATTATAATTTAATTATTTATTTCATTACATGTTTATTATCTATTTACGGAAATGATATTGTTCTCATGCATAGTAACAATATAAAGTCAGGTGTTTCCAGGGTTATTATTTTTGTTTTTGTTTTTCTTCAATAACAACTAATGTTCATTTATTACCAATCTGTATATCTTAGGAATAACAAGAAAACTATTAAAATGAATTTGTAAAATAAATAATTCCTTTGAGAAAGTCAATATATGTATATATGTATGAATTAATTATATTTAAAGGATAAGTATGAATGATTGAATAATAAGCCTCAATATACACAAGGGGAAAACCAAGGTTCTCAAATACAACACAGACAACAGCAATACAATCAATCTTGATGGTGAAACTTTGGAAGATGTAGAATCTTTCACATACCTAGGAAGCATCATGAATGAACAAGGAGATTCAGATGCAGACGTAAAGGCGAGGATTGGCAAAGCAAGGGCGGCATTCCTTCAATTGAACAACATATGCAACTCAAAACACCTTTCAACCAATTTCAAAATCAGAATCTTCAATACGAACGTCAAGGCAGTTCTACTGTACGGAGCTGAAACTTGGAGAACTACAACAACCACCATCAAGAAGGTACAAGTATTTATCAATAGCTGTTTACGCAAGATACTCAAAATCAATTGGCCGGATACCATCAGCAACAGCTTTTTTTGGGAGAGAACACAACAGGTTCCAGATGAAGAGGAAATTAGGAAATGACGATGAAAATGGATAGGACATACATTGAGGAAATCATCAAACTGCACCACGAGACAAGAGCTAACTCCGAATCCTGAAGGGAAGCAAAAAAGTAGAAGGCCAAAGAACATATTACGCTGAGAAATAGAAACAGACATGAAAAGGATGAATAAAAATTGGATAGAACTAGAAAGGAAAACCCAGAATAGAATGGCTTAGAAAATGCTAGTCGATGGACTATGCTCCATTGGAAGTAATAGGCGTAAGTAAGTATAGATAATTATGTAGATAAATTTACTTCATAACTAATTTCAATTAAATTATTATATACATTAATTGTAAACACAATATTTTGTACTATTATCAGAAAGGGGATATTTTTTTGTCGATATTGTAGTAATTTAATAATTGAATTCATGAATTGATTAAAGCTAGCTGGATTAGTTGAAGTTAAACATGAATACCATTGGATCCTAACCGACTCAGTGGTATCGAGTTTAAGCGTTCACGTTCAAGACCGAAGGACCTGATTTCGACTCTCTCATGTGAGATAGTGGATGTCCATTTCGTTCTACGATGAGATTCGTCAGTAATACGCATCCATGATCCCATGTGCTGGACTCGAACCTAAGACTAGGACGAAATAGTCTTTCAGTGATTTAGCTTTGATTGATCCATCAATGTTTGTTAAAAATTGTTTATTGATTATTTTTACTTTTTTATTGGAAAGATTATTTGATATAGTAAAGAAGATTTATAGGTTAAGTGGATAATTTAAGTGAAATTTCATTTTCTAAGCTGGAGAAAGAAAAAAACTCCATCAAAAGGATAATGTTTTCATGTTTTTGTGATGATTGTAGATGATGAAGAAGGAAAACAAACCTTAATTTCATCATCATGTTATGTATAGTTTGTAACTGTGATAGGTTATGAGTTATTCAGTTGGATCTTATCAGTCAGTGATTGATATCATGTAGGATTGAGTTATTTACTTTATTTGATCAATAAGTAATAATCAATAAGATGTTGTTATCTGTTTATTATTAGTGATCAGATTCTATATACTAAGTATGATAATATAAACTATAAGATAGCTGCTTTAATAGTATAAAGGTTAAGTGTTCATAATGATACCTGAATTTGATTCCTGGTAGGGTATTAGATATGCTTTTCTGAAACGCCATATACTATGGAGAAACATTCATCCAATGCAGTGTAGTTCTTAATACTTGTCTAACTGAAATCAGTCCATTATACAAATCAACTATTTAATAGTCTCTACAAGGCTTTATATTTCTATAGATCAAGTCAGATTGTGATCAATCATTTCAATAATTTGATATCATTAACTAAGATACATTCTAACTAACCAAAGTCTTTTTTAATATTTTAAGGTTAATGAGATAATGAGCAATGTATATTGATCTGTAAAATGAGGTTTACAATTTGATACATGGCAACTAATCATTGTTTGATTATTAAAGACTTAAATATTCATTATAAAGATGGATAAGCAAATTATCATTGCAAACAACGGATGGTTCAGTAATGTTGACATTTAAGATGAAATGTAATGAGGAGGATTAAAGAGACAAAAGTAGAAAGTTGATGAAGAAGATGAAAGAAGGAGAAGAAACAGAATGTTTTGAAGGAAGAAAAATGTGAAGATGAAAAAAAAAGAGGAAATTATGAGATATGAAGATCATGGTAGAAGAAGTGGACTCATAATCTGGTTATTAGTTCAGCAATGTTAAGAAGATGTAATATAACCTTTTACTTATTTTGTAGATAATTTTCATACTCACAATCCATCTTGATTCAGTGATCTGTGTTTACAAAATGATCGATTATTGTTGAGCTTCTTATTTGACCATTTCCATCTGGTTCTTTATTTAGCCAGGTTGGATGTTGTTGTTGGATTGTTTTGGATAAAGTACTCATTGAATGACCTATATACTTGACTTCATATGATCAAGTAAATCTTTTCTTATTTAATATTTTAATGAGTGTATTCCATTTCATAAAAAAAGTTCTAATGATCTTTCGACAGTAAAAGAATTCAATAGATTTTTCGGTTATTCTGTGAAACTTGTTAAGGTGAACGTGAATGTTATCTTTGTTAATGATTGTTGCTGGAAAATTCTTTGGAGAAACTATATATAGTGTAAAGGAAGACAATGAATGTATACACCTACAGCATTGTGATCGATTCTTAGCCATATCACACACAGTCTTTAATCATTGGTTACAATAGTCACCGGTGGACCCTAACGAAGTGGTATATATCTACCAATATGGCTCAGATTAAAAGTTAGTGATTTCGAGAACTGATGTCATGTTTAAGTTTAGCCACCCCTAACTTTTTTCCAACCATTTCCAACACTAATCAGCATTGTGCGTCGTGGTAATCGGTGTTTGAGCATACGTAATACGTGGTTCAACCATCTCAATTGATGAATATTCACAACCTGATCAATTGATTTACCATCATTTCCTAATACCCTGCTTGTCTAACCTCTCACTATTACTTACCTGATGATCCCAGCATATGTGAGCAATATTTCTAAAGCATCTGTGATCAAATATTAGTAGTTTACGAATATCTTCTACTCTTAATGGCCAGTTTTCGCAACCGTAAAGTAGAACAGAACGATCTGCCGCACAGTATTCTAACGAAAGAATATAGAAATCAACTAAAACTACTTAAATACAGTAAAAACTTGGTTAGAACCCATTCAAATAAAGGTATAGATTTAGTGCTGTTACACTACAAGATTTATATCGAACCAAAAAAAAAAAGCAACGAAGTTATTATCAGATGACATGAATTTCTTCAAACTAATCAATAAAACAATGAACACGTACTAAAATAATACAAAAGTATCTTTTCAATCATTAAGATCATGAGTCAATTAAAGCTAGACCACCATAGAAAACCTGGAAGCATTGGACAAATGTATTTGATTGAAGTTCTTCAATGAATTAAAAATGATTAGTCAATTCATGAAAATCCTTATGAACGTATAAAAATCAATAGAATCAATCATATTACACCCAAATAGTTTACTTAAAATACATACAAAAAACCTGAATTTTCTATTCGATCAATTCTTCATATATCTAAAATTCCTTTACAACTTGATAGTAAAGGGGTTGGCAGATCTATTAGAACTAGTAAGAAAGTACATTTGTAAACATTCCATACATGAAATGAATATTGGAATATCAAATGTTTATTTAAAGGAACCATTAAAACATTATACTTGTAATGTACAGTTGACATAAACAAAAAGATTGTTCATCAACAATAATATGGATAAATTATCTCATTTGACAAACTGCTCATATATAGTCAAGTATATAAGTCATTCAATGAGTATTTTATCCACAAAAAAAAAAAAATTCAACAACATCATCCAACCTGGCTAAAATAAGAACCAGATGGAAATGGCTTAATAAGAAGCTCAACAATAATCGATCATTTTGTAAACACAGATCACTGAATCAAGATGGACTGTGAGCATTAAAGTTATCTACAAAATAAGTAAAAGGTTATCATATGCTAGTTATATTACGTCTTCCTAACATTGCTGAAGTAATTTCTATGATCTAAAATATAAAAAAGTAAGACACAATAGATAACATTATATACATTATGATGGGTTGTAGGTGTTGATTTACGAGTATTTACAGTTAACAAAAGCTAAACATTTGCTTTAATTCATAGTGGTGCAAAGTTAGAACTTAAATGATTTCCAACTTAGGTGTTGTGGAGATTGTCAAGCTTCTGATTGAGATCATGAACCGATTGATTTAAGATCACCATTGTAAACCTGGAAGCACTTGCCGGCCGTTTTGTTCTATTGTGGGATTCCTCAGTGGCAGTGCGCATCCACGATCCTGAATCTGGGATCAATCGGTTCATGATCTCAATCAAAAACTTCACAATCTCTACAACACCTAAATTGATAATTACAATGTGGTCACTAGTGACTAGCTACGTG